AACAACATGAGGGGTTGAGAAAAGAGAATTAGGGCAAAAGGAATTGATATGTTGTGTTTTTTACGATTGGATAGATGAAAACTCAATCGGCTATGATCCTCTCAAATATATAGAGGGGGTGGTCTTATCCTAGTAGCAAACCTCTCCAAGACTTATTTTTCAAGTTTCCCACGAGTTTAGAATAGTTCGGATCGGAATCCAAAAGGCCAGATCTAAACTGGGTTTTAAATTAGGTCTGCCGGAAGTCCCGATTTGGGTCGGAACTCCCACCGCGGGGATAACCCCAGACACCCAAGCAGGTTTCTTCAGGCTTCCTAGAAGTCCCGGCACCTATCGAAACTTCCGACAGTCAGAAGTCCTGACTTGGGTCGGAACTCCCGACAACAGAACATCTTTCTGGGGGCATAACTTCTTCATTCGAACTCCGAATTAGACGTTTCATATATGTTTTTTGACCATCTCAATGAGAGGAATGCAATGGTGAAGTCCGTTCCATATTTTGGCAACTTCACAAAATGGACAATTTTGGTTGTCAACATATGCCCCCCTGTTTTTAGGTGAATGATGCATAAACCTGAAAACACTTAATCAAATAAATTAAAACCAAACAGCGATGATACCCATCTCATCGGCTACTTAGTGACTAAGGGCGATGTACACATCGGCCATTTTTGTTTTAAGGGCAATACATGTATCGGCCATTGCTTGGAGAGCACTTAGGCTTCTTGCCAAACACTTGGAAAATACTTTTTCAAGTATCTCCCGTTGAATGCTCTATTGAGACGTTCACCTTGCAATATCTCTAGCAAATAAGAGTTACCGAATATGACTTTGATCATTTTGTAAGGATCATCCCAATTAGGTGACCACTTGCCAAATTGATTGCTCTTCGATCCAATTGGTGGTATGGTTTTCCATACTAATTCTCCCACTTGGAAGGATTTAATTTTGACTTTCTTGTTGCATGCTTTGGCAACTCGAGCTTTATCTTTCTCTATTTCCTTGAGAGCTTTTAATCTCACATCAGTCACCTCATCGATGTTATCCATCATCAAATCATGATACACAATAGCCGATAGATCATTTTGTTTAGCAAGTCTGTATGCATCTAAATTCACCTCGACAAGCAACACAGCCTCTTGACCATATACTAACTCAAAAGGAGTAACATTTGTAGCACCATGCCTTGAAATGCGATGTGCCCATAGAGCCTCAGACAAAACTTCATGCCACCTCCTTGGATTATCCTCAATCTTCTTTTTGATGAGCTTGATCAAAGTCTTATTACTAGACTTAGCTTGGGCATTGGCTTGAGCATAGTATGGAGATGAATTGAGCAACTTGATCTTATATAATTCGGCAAATTCCCTCACCTCTTTGGACACAAACGATGTCCCTTGATCTGTAGTTAGCGTTTGATGGATGCTGAATCTATGAATAATATGCTCAGTGATGAACTCAATTACCTTCTTGTGTGTCATATTCTTCAAAGGAACCACCTTGGTCCACTTAGTAAAGTAATCCATAGCAACTAACACAAATCGGTGTCCCTTCGAAAATGGGGGATGTATTTGGCCAATGAAGTCTAGCCCCCAACCACGAAAAGGCCATGGTTTGATGATAGGATGAAGCATAGCAGCAGGCACCAACTGGACATTCCCAAACCTTTGGCACTCCTCGCAACCTTTGTAGTAACGAAAACAATCGGCCATCATAGTAGGCCAATAGAAACCGGCTCTACGCAATAACCACTTCATCTTCGGGGCTGATTGATGCGTACCACAAATACCTTCATGGACTTCTCCCATAGCCACTCTTGCCTGATCTGATCCCAAGCACTTAAGTAACAAGTCTTCGGCGGTTCTTCGATAGAGCTCATCATTATGCAACACATATTTAAAAGCGCTCCGCCGAACATTCTTATCAATTTTGGCATTAGGATCACATAAATGTCTCAACAAGGGAGTCCTCCAATCTTCTAAATCAGCTCCAACATCACTGGAAATTGCATTGGGCCGATTTGGTAGCTTCTCGGGAGAATTGACCGGGCCAGTCATAAGGGAGTCGGCTGAGCCGATTGGGAGGAGTCGGCCTGGCCGACTTGGATAGTCAGCCTGGCCGACTTGGCTGCTACAGGGGAAGAGTCGGCTAAGGTTACTTGGTTAGTCAGCTTAGCCGACTAGCCTGTACCTGCATGGGAAAAATGTAAATTTTCATGCATCGGCTGTTCTTGAATATGAAAATTATGCCCACCGACATCATAGCTAGATGCTTGTTGAGATAACATGTTGGCCATTTGATTTTCATGCCTTGGAATATGCCGAATCCGTAATTCGGCAAAATAGTCAATAACATCAAAGCAAGTATCAAGACAAGCTCTTAGTGATCCCTCTAAACATTGAAACTCACCAGCAACTTGTTGAACCACCAGCAAGGAATCACCATAGGCTTCAACATGTTTTACCTCCATGGATCGCAACATGATCAACCCAAATAATAGAGCTTCATATTCAGTTTGATTGTTGGTACAAGAGAAATCTAATCGGCTTGACATCCCAACTTCAGCACCATTGGGAGAAATAAGAATAATACCTACACCTTGGCCATCTTTACAAACCGATCCATCAAAGTATAATTTCCATAGAGTAAAAGTAAGGTAATTGACTTCGTTATCTAAATCAATACAATGCTCAACAATAAAATCAGCAAGAACTTGACCCTTTAATGTTTTCAATGGTTCATAAGTCAAGTCATATTCTATTAGTGCATATGCCCATTTGCTTATCCTTCCAGAAAGAATTGGCCGATATAACATGTGCTTTATCACATCGGCCTGGCAAGCAACAACACATGTACTAGACAAAAGATGGTGTCTCATCTTAGCACAAGCATAGTACAGTGACAAGCATAATTTCTCTATATGGGCATACCTTGTCTCGGGATCAAGAAGACGACGACCAAGATAAGCAATCACATATTCTTTACCTTCGTCTTCTTGAGTCAAAACAGCCCCGATTATCTTCTCTTTGGCAGCAATATATATTTTGAAAGGAACTCCTCTTCTAGGTGCACGAAGAATCGGTGGTGTTGACAAATATACCTTTATTTTCTCAAATGCCTCTTGTTGCTTTGCCCCCCCAAGTGAATTCAGATTCATCCTTCAGCTTCAATATGGGGGCGAAAGGAATAATTTTCTCGAATAAGTTAGCAATAAATCTTCTCAAGTAGTTTACCTTCCCTAAGAACTTTTGCAAGTCCTTGCATGTAGGCGCCTGAACATTCTTGATCTTCTCTATCCTCTTGGGATCAACCTCTATGCCTTTATCATGAATTATAAATCCCAAGAACTTTCCAGCCGATACTCCGAAAGCACATTTAAGTGGGTTCATCTTCAATCCATAGCGGTGCATCCTCTCAAAAGCAAGATGCAAATTGGCCAAATGAGATTTATGGGCAGTCGATTTAATCACAATATCATCGATGTATACCTCCATAATCACCCCAATTAGATCATGGAAAATCAAATTCATAGTTCTTCGATAAGTAGCACCTGCATTCTTCAGCCCAAATGTCATCACAACCCACTCAAAGAGACCAACAAACCCAGGACATATGAAGGCCATCTTAGACATGTCTTCCTCGGCCATGAAATCTGATTATAACCGGCATTACCATCAAGAAAGCTAATAACTCGGTGTCCTGAGGCATCATTGATAAGCATATCAGCTATAGGTATAGGATATTCATCTTTTGGAGTAGCTCTATTCAGATCTCTAAAATCAATACAGACTCTGATCTTCCCAAAATCCTTCTTCTCAACAAGCACAATATTAGAGACCCACTCCGCATACCTGCATGGCTAAATAAACCTCGCTTGCAATAGCCGATTAATCTCTTCTTTTATCTTATCATAAATTGTAGAATTAAATCGGCGGGCCTAAATCCTTTCTTAATGGGGAGCCGATGCTCAACAAGCTCTCAGCTCAATCCAGGCATCTCTGTATAATTCCATGCAAAACAATCAACATATTCCTTGAGAAGCGCGATTAACTCAACTTTGTAATCGGCTTCCAAGTTTTGATTAATAAACATCGGCCGGGGCACAGAGCCAGCCCCAATATCAACTTGTTCCAAAGTGTCGGCCGACGTAAAACCTTGGCCCAACTTATCGAGCTCATCAAAATCATCAATAGCTTCACAGGCATCGGTCTCATTAGCCCGATACTGTTCAACACGATGTTTTAACCATTCAACGTTGGCATCCATTACAATAATGATTACATGATGATATTGAGCCAATTATCAATTGGCTTCAAGGACATAGGAACAAAACCTTGCCTGGTAACACTAATAAATTCAAAGCTAGAAAGGTCTCTACCAGACAAGCAAGCAATAGCATCATGCCCCCCAAGCGTAGGAGCATCGGCTGCAGCAACATCAGCCGATGAATATGAATGCACAACCTCAACAACATCTCCCACCCATTGGATGAGAAATTGGTGCAAGCTAGATGGCACGCAGCGATTGGCATGAATCCAATCACGCCCAAGAATCAAATTATAGCTACCTTGCACGTCGGCGACAAAGAATGCCGTAGCCAAAGTCTTGCTTTCAATGGTGAGCTCCATGTTAGCAACTCCTCTGGCTAGGATGGGAGCACCTCCTCCAACACCGCTGATCGCCATGTTGGTCTTGATCAGCTCCTCATCAGTGCCACCAAGCTTCTTGTAAAGCGGATATGGCATCAAGTTCACTATTGCCCCACTGCCCACCAACATGCTATGGACTGGTGTGCCATTGATATGGCCCTTCACATGTAGAGACTTGAGATGGTTGACGAGTCATCTGGCCTCTGAAATACAACGCTCTCTGTTGCGAAGGTAAATTCTGCCATCGTAGAGTCATCTGCTATGATGTAGTAATTGGCAGACAAAACAACCACATTAATCTCCCCTCTTTTCGGGGTGGCCTCATAGTCAACCATCTCCTCATCGGGAACCTCAGGGACCTCCATTCCAACCAGGGCAGCAACGGTAGTAGCGAAATCATCGGAGGACACCTCGAAGGCACCTGGGACAGCACGAGTCAGCTCAGCCGACTCTAAAGTCGGCTTAGCCAACTCTGGGCTTCCTAGAGCCGCATCAGTAGGGGAAGTCGGCTTAGCCAACTCATGAGTCAGCTTAGCCGACTCTGGCACATCCAAGGCGGCAGGGGCAGGCAAAGTTGGCTTAGCCGACTCAGGAGTCGGCTTAGCCGGCTGACTCAGCACAGGAGTCGGATTGGCCACCAGCAGCGGCGGCGGCGTTCTGATCTTCCAAAGGGTTTTTGACATGTACGGGGTTGAGAATTTCACCATCCATCTTGGCAAGCTTCTCCCTCTTCTGTTGCTTATGTCGGGCATGCTGTAACTTACGCCTTTGAGTTTTATTCAACACACGAGGACACCATATGGGTTGCCGATACTTAGAATCTCCTTCGGCGTGCTTCTTTTCTTCAATTCTAGCCACATCTTTGGGAGCTTCATCTTGCTTAGATGCTGGAATTTCTTTAATTACAATTAGCCCATCATGATTAATGATAGGAGCTTCCATGGAGCCAATTGTGACGACCGATCGAGGCCTAGCTCTTGGTGGGAAAACAACGGGAACCTCAACCTTCTTAGGCACATAGACTTGCTGTATTGCTGCCTTTTCCGATTCTTGTGGAGTCAAAGTCCTAGAATTAATCACACGGTCTTGGCTTGCACCGCCGGAGCTCGATTGACCATTGTTCAATCGGCTAAACACGGAGGTCCTTGGGACTTGACCAGTAGGCTCTCCCCACCTTTGTTGACTATGCATAGGTGCCGCCGGAGGATACGGCACCCAAACTCCATGAGGACCCCATTGTGGCATAATTGGAGGTGGAATCGGGGGACCCCAGCGAGATACCCGGGGAGCAACTCTCTGAAGTGGAGCTGCTGCTTGCGCCATTACCAATTGCTTGGACTTGTCATCTTCTCGCTTAGGCGGAGTAGACTCTTTTTTCAACGGCCGATTCTAGGAATTGGCCTTTTGTTGCTTATACTTGGTCATGAGCCTGTCAAAGGTGCATTGCTTCTTCACAAGCTCTCCCTAGTTCTTCTTCTCATTGGTCTTCCAGGTACCAATTTCTGGCCGTTGTGGAACAAATGTGTGCAAAATGCGAGCACCGAAGGAACTGGGGCTGCTGGAACCAGGGGAGTCGGCTAAGCCGACTAGGGCAGTCGACTCAGCCGACTTGGCTGAGGTGGGAGTAGAATCGGCTAAGCCAAGTCCCTGAGTCGGTTGAGCCGACTAGCTCTGCTGTGTGCTGGGGTTGGCTTGGCTGACTGGTGGAGTCGGCCTAGCCAGCCTCTGCTGTGTCGTCGTTGTTTCATACCACCGCTGCCTTCTCTAATATTGTGTTGATCCAGCGGTGATCTTCAACTTGTTCTTGCCTTCATCATCCTTCTCAAGCACCACCTTGCGCCCCGAATTCTTTTCGACATTCGGTGCTACACGTGGTTCGTCGATAATCATATTCTTGCATTGAGTTGTATCAGCTTACTCTAGATGAATCAAAACAGTGGGCGCCCCTGCTTCAACCATATGCATGGGAAAAGGGACCTTTTCAACTTGCATATCAAAAAGACTCAATCATCCCTCATTAAGGGCCGATTGGACCTGCCGATGGAAAACATTGCAATCGTTAGTGGCATGAGAAAAAGAGTTATGATATTTGCAATAAGCCAGTCTCTTTAACTCATCAGCTGAAGGCAATATATAATTAATTCTAATATAACTGAATTTCAATGATTCGTCAAAGATTTGGTCACATTTAGAGAAATCAAAAGTAAATTCCATCTCCTCATTCCGATTCTTATGAATCAGCTTGAGAGAAGGACAAGTAATCATCTTATTCTTTGCTGGCCATTTAATTTCAGCAGGGAACAACTCTTTGTTATCATCATCAGAGCAATCAGAATTATCATCAACAAAATGCACACCCTGACGATGTGACTTATAAGCATCACGAGACTCTTTAAGGCGCGATTCAACCGAAACGGCCTTTTGTAGCAATTGATTAACATTAACAAATTGATAATGCTCAAGTTTTTTCTTAATACTAGGACGCAAACCAGCAAAACATAAATCAGTTAAGTCTCTTTCTAAAATCATCAAATGAAAGCATCGGTTCTTGATTTCTCTAAATCGTTTGAAAAAATCAAGGACAAGTTCATCACGACCTTGATGAACTAATGCAAGATGAGACAACCTAGTTTCATGAGTTCCATTGTAGAAGTGATTATGAAACTTTTCCTCTAATTCAGCCCATGAACCAATAGAACAAGATGGTAATGAAGTAAACCATGCAAAAGTTGTGCTGGTAAGTGACAATGGAAAATTACGAACTTTCATAAAATCAAAAGCACTAGCTTCACCTAATTGTGCAAGAAACATGCTAATATGCTCCATGGTTGACTTACTATCATCACCATAAAATTTATTAAAATCAGGTACCCTCCACCCATCAGGTGCTTTCATAAAATCAAAATGTGAAGGGTACGGCTTATGGTATGTAGTCCTACTAGGCTTGATTTGTACACCTAAACTTTCTTCAAGTGATTTAGACAATTCTTCTCTAAACCGATTCAACGTATCGCTAAAATCGGTAGTAGGAGTAGTAGGTGCATTATCAAGTATAGGAATTTAACTTGGTGACTTCGGCGAGTTAGGAAGGACCGTGTTTTGCCCTGTCGAAGCTTGGTTTGTTACTGATCTCTGATCGGTTCGAGTGTTTCAAGCCGAATTTTGATCATAGATAACCAATTGTGAAGATGGAGCACTACTGGCTAACCCGGCCTTATCGGTTTCAAGTGCCGAAGAGGCCGATTTGCCTTTGTTTGCTGCTACATATAATCCTTGATTATCATAAAAATTCAAAGGCATGCCAAAATCAGGTTGTTTAGAAGAAGGAACACCCGATTGATTCCCATCGGTTGTTTTCCCTTCCAACTTATCAAAATGAGGCATGATCATATTCATTGCAGCTAAAAGGTTATTATCTATTACTTTCTTATGATCATCCATCATAGTAGCGTAATTGGCATGCGTAGGATAAGGATCAACAATATCATCATACTTGGGTTCATTGGTCCTTACCTCAGGTGCAGCGGGTGCAGATGATGTAGAAGTGATCAACTCGCTGAAGTTTGGCTCCTTGTATTGGGTGACCTTGTCCCACCGATCTTTAGTGCAACTCTAAAGAAAAGCCTTCAGAATGGCGTTGAACTTGGCCGCCACTTGCTACTTCAGCTCCTCGGGAAGCTCATCAACGATCTCGGGATGGTTGATGTTAGCACCATGAGGGACGCTAGTCCTGTCGTCCTTCTCACCTGCATCATCACCGTTGCTTTCCATGTCAACTTTAGATTGAACCTTGGATCGCTTCGCTTTCCCCAGCGGAGTCACCAAAAAGCATGTTGACGTTGAAGATGACTCTAAGCCAACACACCAGCAGGGCCTTGGATGCCTAAAGAGGTTGTAGATCAACCTGCAATGCAGCAAGAAAGCAGCGTAATCGACCAAACTGATCTAGAGACCGACAAGGCCGATGTAAAGCCCGTTCTTGACTGAAAACGCTCCCGAACTTCTCCCGGAAAGACCCGTCGTGGAGGAGTACGTGGAGGATCTCCTAGGACTAGCAAGACCGCCTAGGATGCCACTGAATCTCACCAGGAAACTCAACAAACAGCAGGAGGGGTTGAGAAAAGAGAATTAGGGCAAAAGGAATTGGTATGTTGTATTTTTGACGATCGGATAGATGGGAACTCAATCGACCACGAGCCTCTCATATATATATATATAGAGGGGGTGGTCTTATTCCAGTAGAAAACCTCTCCAAGATTTATTTTTTAAGTTTCCCACGAGTTTAGAATAGTTCGGATTGGTACCCAAAAGGCCAGATCCGAACAGGGTTTTAAATTAGGTCTACCGGAAGTCCCGACTTAGGTAGAAACTCCCGACAGTCGAAACTTCCGACCTTTATCAGAACTCCCGACGTGGGAATAACCCCAGACACCCGAGCAGGTTTCTTCAGGCTTCCCAAAAGTCCCGACACCTGTTGAAACTTTCGACAGTTGGAAGTCCCAACTTGGATCGAAACTTCCGACAACGGAGCATCTTTCTAGGAGCATAACTCATTCATCCAAACTCCGAATTAGACGTTCCATATATGTTTTTTGACCGTCTCGACGAGAGGAACACAATGGTGAAGTCCATTCCATATTTTAATAACTTCACAAAATGGACAATTTTAGTTGTCAACAAAGCCCTATATGCCTCCCATTGTACACATGCTAACTGAAACTAAAATTACAGTCACTACCATGTGGGAGTGGCGAAGATAATAAAACGCACCACCATTTTATACTGAAGGTAAGCATTTTGCTGTACTGCTGTGCCCCCTATAAATCTGAGGGAAATCCGAACAGTTACAATATACAGTAGAGTATATTGTTTTTCCACCTATATTTTCAGGCACTGAACGATGTTCAGTAATCCCATCTTTCTAGCACAAGGGCATGAGACTTTAGAAGCGCGGGCTTTTCTATTCACAATTTATTCTCCCATAATCAGCCCAGCAGCCGCTATACACTAAGCTTGGGCCGGTAATCTATGCCGGCAAATTTCTTTGTAATGGAATCCACACACGCCATTCTTATTCTTTCTGGTGTCGCCGGGTTGTCGAGTGGGAACCAGCCCAAGTGCCCCTCCTCAGCCCTTGCCGCAAAGATCGCGTCCTTTATCGCAAATAAGACAGCGGAGCCAAGGAAAAATGGTGGCTCTCCCACGGCTTTGGAAGAATGAATAGCCTTCTGATTTGGAACCCCCTGCAACGAAAGAAGTGAAGATGAGTCATTTTGGAATAACTGAACACATGAGAGAAAATAATTTTGTTCACCAAGACAAAAAAAAACTTTAGTATAATTCAAGCGCTGTAAAAATACCACCAGGTCAATCTTTAGATGGTTCTCTTTGTATTTATGCCATTATGGAGATTTCATGTCATCTATTTCTGCTCAGACTTAATAAGAACAAATATGTTCGTCCATGACATTTAGGCTCTCCTTTTTGAACATAAACACAATCCTTAAATTAAGTGGTAGAACCTCGCTAAAATAACCTTATGATGTTATAGTAGGCTACTAACTAACCGATATTGTCCCACTGGCTATGTAAATTTGTCACAGTACAGCAACCCCCCCCCCCCTAACGGTAATAGTTAAAATAAAAAACTTCATCAGTCTGATTCAAAAGGAAAACAACCACTGCAAAAAAAATGTGAATATGAACTTAATATATTTACCTTTAATAGAGAAACCTTGAAATTTAGAGGTATATCATTTACAGAGGGTATTTTGTAAGAACCAGGACCACAGGTGAAGAGGTGTCCAGGTCGAATCCACTTATGGTTATCATCCCCCCATTTTAGCTCTTCCATGGCTGCCCAGCCCAATCCTTGGATAAAAGCTCCTTCAATCTGAAATACAGTATGTTAAACTACAGAAGGCAATTAAATGAGAAATATGTAGAAGGAACCTCTCTTTCATGTTGCAGCAAAACATTTCCTCTGCAGAGGACATACCTGGCCAATGTCAATTGCTGGATTAATTGAAAAGCCGAGATCCATAACAATATCAGCTGTCCTTGTGTAAAAATCCCCAGTTAGGGTGTCAATCTCAACTTCTGCAAATGCAGCTCCATATGTGAAATAATTGAATGGAGTTCCCTTGCCAATCGTCCAGTCAAAACCAATATTAGGTGTAGCATAAAACCCATGAGCAGACAGATCCACACGTTCCATGTAGCATGCTTGAGCCAACTGGCAAAAATGTATAATATCCACATTATAATTAGTTAAACCATAAATTTATGTAGTCAAAATTTTCAAAAAGATAATTTTAATTCAATAATTACTACAGTTGCAGGTATTTAGGTGTGACAAGAAAATTATTTAAAAACTTGAAATAGTCAATTTGTTAGTCCCAACAGCCAAAACACTAAGTTGGGAGCATCTAAACAAATGATGGTTACTTGAAATAAAGCTAACACATAACTACAAATTATCAAACGTGCAAACAAACTTACGATTTTCACAGTTCACTGAAGGTTCGTGTTCACACCAGAGTCAATAATGTGGTCCAACCACTAAAGAAAGAGGATAAGACATTGACATTACCTCTGCAAACGAGTTGTGGGTTCCTTTGCTAGCAATGGGTTCCATTCGAACCTTGATTTGCAGACAAGCATCCAAAACTGCAGCTCCATACAGATCTGAACTAGCAGAGGCTGCTGTTGGTGATGCATTTGGGACCTAACAGATGGAATGATCATGTGTGACCACATCACCTCATTGTAGTGGCACAGCTTATAAATAGAAGTAATAAAAGCAAGTACATCTAGTGTAAGATCATGCAGAGCAAAGGGGTACATCCATGTGTCGAACCTCACCTTATCAGTACTTGTCTCTGATATAAATACAGAGCTAAGAGGGATATTGAATGATGAAGCAGCAACTTGGGCTATCTTTGTGTGCAAACCCTGTCCCATCTCAACCCCACCATGTGTTACCAAGACAGTGCCATCAGTGTAAACTTGCACAAGAGCGCCAGCCTACATTGTTCATCCATCGAAACTTATCTTAGATTGAATAAGGATGATGAAACTAAAAAACTTAAGTCAATGCCATGTCTAAGTTTACTGCTGCTTTGATAATTTTAGATGGAACCTCTATGATTCAAGCATGGGTTCCATAAAATTGGGGATGGTACTGGAGTATAAATATGGCAATAAATAAAAAAGCACAATCATGGTTCCAAATCCACACAAACCAAGGTCAGTGTCACTGCACCAATAGAGTCCAAAAAGATATTTCGGTCAGACACCCGAGTCAGATTTGAAGTGAAATTCTGTTAGTCAAAAAAAAAACTGCCGAGTGGGACACTAACAAAGGTACAACAGAAAGTAAAACCTTTTCTACTGCAATCGTGATAGGTCACAGGACCAGTGAGAGGATACACTGATACTGCTGACAAGATAGTATAACCATCAAATAGCATGCTATGTGTTCTGGCAGTACATTCACCAAAAAAATGATGTGATCAATCAGAAACTAAATTCAAATAAGAAACGTGCAACAAAGAAAACAACAGAAGAAAAGCAACCAAATTTTATGGCAATTGCAACTTAACTATGTGAGTGTATAATTTGCCATAAGTTAAACAACTGTGTGGGTCTGTGGTCTCAACTAAATCACACCTTTAAAGAATTTTCATGCATCAAATATCAAAACTAAATCAGTAATCCCACAAACTCCAATTCGTAATGATAGATTGGCAGAACTTTCATGGTGGATCACCTGATTCATGAATTTTGTAGTGAAGGATATGCCAAATTTTGTGGGAATCATGGCAATTCCTCGCTTCCTCCAGCGGTTATTACCGTTAAAACTATTCACAGCTTTGCGAGCTTCCACAAAATTACAAGATGCTTTTAGTTGATCCCAAACTGAACCTATTGTACAATTCTGGAGCAACTGGCCATAATGCAGCACAACTCCATCATTGTGAAAATTAAGTTCCTGTCAATACTCAAATAGGTTAATCCCACAATAGTGTGACAAGGCCAGTACCATTCACAACACATGTGTATGCTTACTTTTATCTCCTCAGGACTTCGTTGGAGTTCTGTAGCTATATGGTGAATCCAATTCTCTGCAATCAACAAGCCTTGTGGACCACCAAAACCTCGGAAAGCAGTGTTACTTGGGAAGTTTGTAAAGCATACTTGCCCATTGATTCTGATGTTTGCTATGTCATAGACATTTTCTGAATGAAACATAGCACGCTCCAGTACTGCAAGGGACAGATCAAGTGAATGACCACCGTTGTTATAAATTTCCAGGTCTAGGGCCAGTATCTTCCCTTCATTGGTAAATCCCACCTAAAAGATCAATGGGGAAGTTAGTTAATCCTAAATACTACAAAAGAGAAGAAAAAAGTTCGGTATATGAGCGTTCACTGGTTATTACATGACAGTTGTGGAAAGTATTCAATATACAGCAATTAGCATTCCCAATTAACTGCAACGCTTTCTATAAAAGCAGGGTAACCCTTTTTTTTTAAAAAAAGAAAAAAACACATGGCCTCTTGATTTTTTTGGATAAAAACTGAAAGACATACTGTTAAAGTCTTAATACCTTATATTTCCCAAGGAAACTGTGCCTCTGTCCAGTTGATATCATGTCAACGTCTCTGTCCAAAACAAGCTTTACTGGCCTTCTCAGACAGAAAGAGGGTACAGATGCTGCTGCAGCAAATATTGCTGATCTGGTTTCTTTTCCACCAAATCCGCCACCAATACGCTTAGTCTTGCAAACAACTTTTGATTGTGGAAGATCAAGAACGCTAGCAACATATTTCTGATGCTTCTGCGGAGCCTATAAATAAACAACAATATGTTAATGACAGAGACTGAACAGCTAGTATACAGCAACAACAACAACAAAGCCTGTCAGTCCCAAGCAAGTTGGGGTAGTCTAGAGTTGAAACCCACCAAGAGCCCCTAATCACAGTTCAGGCACATCAATAACTGCTTTCCAAGCACTCCTATTCAAACATAGATCTCTAGTTATATCCCAAACTTTCAAATCTCTTTTTATTGCACTCACTAATAATATGGGAACAGAGACCAGAAGCAACAAAAAAAGAACAGCATTCCTAGCAGCTATTCATTCCTTAAACAAGTAGCCCCACAAATATAAGGTTGGCAAGTATAGTGCAACCAACAACAACAACAACAACATAGCCTTTCAGTCCCAAGCAAGTTGGGTAGGCTAGAGTTGAAACCCACCAAGAGCCCCAAGTCACGGTTCAGGCACTTCAATAGCTAATTTCCAAGTACTCCTATCCAAACATAGATCTCTAGGTATATCCAAAGCTTTCAAATATCTTTTTATTGCCTCCCCCATGTCAATTTTGGTCTTCCTCTACCTCTTCTCATATTATTAGCTTGGCTTAGGACTCCACAATGCACTGGTGCCTCTGGAGGTCTCCTTTGGACATGGCCAAATCACCTCAACCGATGTTGGACAAGTTTTTCTTCAATTGGTGCTACCTCAAGGCGATCACGTATATCATCGTTCCGAACTCGGTCCATTCTTCTGTGACCGCAAATCCATCGCAACATACGCATTTCTACAACACTCAGTTGTTGAACATGTTGAATCTTTATAGGCCAACATTCTGCTCCATACAACATAGCCAGTCTAATCACCGTTCTATAGAACTTGCCTTTTAGCTTTTGTGGTACCCTCTTGTCACAGAGAATGCTAGAAGCTTATCGCCACTTGATCCACCCTGCTTTGATTTTATGGCTAACGTCCGCATCAATATCTCCATCTCTCTGTAGCATCAATCCCAGATACCGAAAGGTATTCTTCTTAGGCACTACTTGACCTTCCAAACTCATATCTCCCTCCTCCTGTACAACTCCGCCAAAGTCGCATCTCATGTATTCGGTTTTATTTCTGCTCAATCTAAAACCTTTAGACTCAAGGGTCTGCCGCAATAACTCTAGTTTCCTATTTACTCCCGTCTGGCTTTCGTCCACTAACACTACATCATCAGCGAACAACATACACCAAGGGATATCCCCTTGTATGTTCCTGGTAACCTCATCCATTACCAAGGCAAAGAGATACGGGCTTAAGGCTGACCCTCGATGAAGTTCAATTTTAATCGGGAAGTAATATGTGTTACCATCGTTTGTTCGAACACTAGTCACAACATTGTTGTACATGTCCTTGATGAGGGTCACGTACTTTGATGGGACTTTATGTTTGTCCAAAGACCACCACATAACATTTCTTGGTATCTTGTCATAAGGCTTCTCCAAGTCAATGAAAACCAAGTGGAGATCCTTCTGCTCTCTAAACCGCTCTATAACCTGTCTTATTAAGAAGATTGCTTCTATGGTTGACCTTCCGGGCATGAAACCAAATTGGTTTGTTGATATCTGCGTCGTTCCTCGCAGGCGATGCTCGATGACTCCCTCCCATAACTTCATAGTGTGGCTCGTCAACTTAATTCCCCGATAATTAGTACAACTTTGGATATCTCACTTGTTCTTGTAGATTGGTACCAATATGCTTCTTCTCCACGCCTCAGGCATCTTGTTCGATCGAAAGATATTGTTGAACATCTTGGTTAGCCATACTATAATTATATCCCCGAGACATCACACCTTGATTGGGATATCATCAAGGCCCATCGTTTTGCCCCCTTTCATCCTTTTCAAGGCTTCTCTGACCTCCGATTCTTGAATCCTCCGCACAAAGCGTCTGTTAGTGTCATCAAACGAGTCGTCCAGCTGAACGGTGGTGTTCTCGTTCTCACCACTGAACAATTTATCAAAATACTCTTGCCATCTATACACTTGACTTGGTTGAAGTTCCTTGTCTTCCTATCGCGAGCCCTAGCCATCCTATAAATGTCCTTCTCTCCTTCCTTCATACTCAAATGTCGGTAAAGGTCCTCATAGGCCTGCCCCTTTGCCTCACTCACCGCTCGTTTTGCAGTCTTCTTTACCACTTTGTACTTCTCTATGTTGTTTGCACACCTGTCATGATACAAGCGCTTATAGCACTTCTTTTCCTTAATAGCCTTTTGCACATCTTCATTCCACCACCAAGTGTCTTTCGAGTCGCATCCGCTCCCTTTGGTCACTCCAAGCACCTCTGAAGCAACCTTCCGAACGCATGTTGCCATCTTCTCCCACATGTTGTTTGCATCGCCTTCATCATTCTAAGGGCCCTCTTCAATGACCTTTTCCTTAAAGACCTTTGATGCCTCCCCTTCTAATTTCCACCACTTCGTTCTAGCAACCCTAGCTTGTTTGTTCCCACGAGCTTGCACCAGAAAGCGGAAGTCAGCCACCACCAGCTCGTATTGAGCGACCACACATTCTCCAGGTATCACCTTACAGTCCACGCATGTTCGTTTATCCCTCCTTCTTGTAAGGACAAAGTCGATTTGACTAGAGTACTGGCCGCTACTAAAGGTCACTAAATGGGACTGTCTCTTACGGAAGAAAGTGTTAGCTATCATCAGATCAAAAGCTATGGCGAAGTCTAAGACTTCCTCTCCCTCCTGGTTCCTACTACCATATCCGAAACCCCCATGAAACGCCTCGAAACCTGCACTTGATGTACCTACATGGCCATTAAGATCGCCTCCTATAAAGAGTTTCTCGCTACTAGGGACAACTCTAACCAAGCGATCTAAGTCTTCCCAGAAAAGCCGCTTAGCACTATCATCATGGCCTACTTGGGGGGCATACGCACTAATTACGTTTAAGACCATATCACTAATGACAAATTTAACTAAGATGAACCTATCCCCTTGCCTTCTCACCTCCACCACACCATCCTTGAGGCTCTTATCAATCAAAACTCCTACTCCATTTTTATTTGAAGTTGTCCCTGTGTACCAGAGCTTGAAGCCGGTATTGTCCACCTCCTTCGCCTTCTGCCCCTTTCATTTAGTCCCTTGAACGCATAAGATATTTACACGCCTCCTAACCACTGTGTCCACTAACTCTCTTAACTTACCTGTAAGGGACCCTACATTCCAGCTACCTAAACGGATCCTAGTTCCCAAAGAATAAAATGAAATCTAAATTTTATAGCATTTTATCTTGAATTTGACATGAATTAAGTATGAAATGGTTCTGCTGGGGCTCCAGCATACTCATGTGGTGCTTTTCTTTGGTATATGTTGTTTTGTGAAGGCAGAATGCCAACCAACTTAGATTATGTTTACACAGGGATTACAAATATATAGAGCCTTAGCCTGGGAAGGCCAGGGGCTAAGCCCACATAGGGAAGCGCATAGCAGAGTAAATAGGAGTAACTAACACAATAACCAAGGAGACACTATGGTAGTCTAACACCCCCCCGCAGGCGGAACGTCGCTAGAGCGGACATTCAGACTGGAACGAAATTCTTGAAACACAGAAGAAGGAAGACCCTTGGTGAAGACATCAGCGAACTGGGAGGTGGTGGGCACATGAAGCACACGGACAGCACCAATGGCAACGCGTTCTCGGATGAAATGGAGGCCAATTTCCACATGCTTGGTGCGCTGATGTTGTACAGGGTTGGTGGAGAGGTAGACGGCGCTGATGTTGTCGCAGTAGACGATGCAGGCGGAGTCGAGCGGGTGATGTAGTTCCTGGAGAAGCTGCCGCAACCAGGAAGCTTCAGCGACGCCGTTGGCGACAGCACGGTACTCTGCCTCAGCGCTAGAGCGAGAGACAGTGGGCTGTCGTTTAGAAGACCAGGAGATAAGGCTGCCACCTAGGAATACAGCATAACCAGAGGTGGATCGGCGAGTGTCCGGGCAGCCGGCCCAGTCAGCATCAGTGTAGACGACGAGCTGTGTCGGAGAAGTCCGAGGAATAATGAGACCATGATCAAGAGTACCCTGGAGATAGCGGAGGATCCGTTTGGCAGCAACAAAGTGAACCTCCCGAGGATCGTGCATGTGAAGGCAAACTTGCTGGACGGCATAAGCAATGTCGGGCCGGGTGAAGGTCAAGTACTGAAGAGCTCCCACAAGGCTACGGTAGGCTGTGGGATCAGCAACAGGAGGACCATCATCAGCAGAAGCCTTGGCGCAGGTATCAACAGGGGTGGAGCATGGTTTGCAGTCACTCATGCCATGGCGAGCCAGGATGTCCAGAGCATATTGGTGCTGGGAGAGAAATAAAGTGTCACCCTGTCGTTGGACTGCCATGGCAAGGAAGTGGTGAAGTGGGCCAAGATCCTTCATGGCGAATTCCTTCATCAGAGCATTAATGACCCGGCGAAGGAGCTGCTGGGAGGAGGCAGTGAGCACAATGTCGTCCACATAGAGCAGCAAATAAATGGTCTCTGTACCGCGACGGTAAACAAAGAGAGATGTATCTGATCTTGCTTCAGTGAAACCCAGGGAGAGCAGGAATGAAGCAAAACGGCTGTACCATGCACGGGGGGCTTGCTTCAAGCCATAGAGAGATTTGTTGAGCCTGCAGACGTGCTGAGGAAGAGCTGAGTTGGCGAACCCTGTTGGCTGAGAACAGTACACTGTTTCTGAAAGAGTCCCATGGAGAAAAGCATTTTTGACGTCTAGTTGATGAATGGGCCAGTCCCGGGAATGAGCCAAAGTGAGGACTGTGCGAACAGTTGCTGGTTTGACAACGGGGCTGAATGTTTCATCGTAGTCAATACCGGGACGCTGTGTAAAGCCGCGAAGAACCCAACGAGCCTTGTATCTGTCCAGCGAGCCATCAGCGTGAAATTTATGTTTGAAAATCCACTTGCCTGTGACCACGTTGGCCTCGTCGGGGCGAGGAACAAGGTTCCAAGTGTGATTTTCCATGAGAGCAGCATATTCATCTTCCATGGCGCGACGCTAGTTAGGATCAGCAAGGGCGTCGCGGCAAGACCGGGGAATCGGGGACAGAGCCTCGGCGTGGAGATGGAGGCGCGGCTATATGTATCCAGACTTCCCACGGGTCATCATGCCATGAGTATTGTCGACCGGTGGGATGGGGACAGCACCAACAGGACGTGGACGATCAGCTTTGATGAACCGTGGTGGAGATGGGATGATGTTGGAGCGGCGAGGAGGAGCGGTAGCTGGTGGTGGTGTCGGCGGTGAAGGAGGAGCAGCTGGTGACGGGCGCCGGGAGTAGACATTGTTGAAACGGGAAGCAGGCGGGGCCACAGGGGGCGCCGGGGCTGTTGCCAGAGGCGGCACAGGGGGTGCTGCTGGGGCCGGGGCAGCTGCCAGAGGCAGCACAGGGGGTGCTGCTGGAGCCGGGGCAGCGGCCAGAGGCAGCACAGGGGGTGCTGCTGGTGCCGACAGGAGCACCTGGGAGGGCGCTGAAGGCACCGTTCGTGGCTGTTGTGCCACGGGCGGGGCGTGCCGAGGCGCGGAGAAGCCTGGTGGAGGAGGCCGGGACGCTGGCCCAGCCGGGCTGAGGGGCCAGAGCACCGACGAGGTGTCGTCAGGCAACTCGGACGCAGCCTGCGGCACGGTCTGCAGAGGGGCGTCGAGAGGCCGTACAGATGTACCTGCAGAAGGTGAGGGAGCTGGTAGAGGCTCATCATTAGTTAGAAAATCAAGCTCTTCGGGAGGTGAGGTCCGGTGTCCAGAGAAAGGAAAAGTCGTCTCGTCGAAGATGACATGACGAGAGATGATGACACGGTTGGAGGTGAGGTCGAGACACCGGTAGCCTTTGTGATCGGGGGAGTAGCCGATGAAGACACACAAAGTGGAGCGTGGGGCAAGTTTGTGGGGGGTGGTGGCAGTGAGGTTGGGATAGCAGGTGCACCCAAAAACTCGAAGTTCATGGTAGGAGGGTGGAGTACCATGGAGTGCGAAGAAGGGAGTAGTCATGTTGAGGGTCTTGGTGGGAAGACGGTTAAGAACATATGTGGCAGTGGAAAGAGCGTCGGCCCAGTAGGAGGGGGGCATGGACGCTTGGAAGAGTAGCGTGCGGATGACATTGTTAGTGGTGCGGATGGTGCGCTCAGCTTTGCCATTTTGCTGAGAGGTGTAGGGACATGACATGCGAAGAGAGACACCGTGAGAGAGGAAAAAGGTGCGGGAGACAGAATTGTCAAACTCGCGACCGTTGTCACATTGGACAGATTTGATGGGGCACCCAAATTGAGTACGAACATACGCGAAGAAACTAGAAAGAACGGAAAAGGTGTCAGACTTAAGGCGAAGTGGAAAGGTCCATAGAAAATGAGAAAAGTCATCAAGGATAACTAAATAATATTTGAATCCAGATACACTGAGAACAGGCGATGTCCATAAATCACAATGTATCAGATCAAATGGTTTGGAAGCCCTTGACGAAGAACTAGTAAACGGAAGACGCACATGACGTCCTAGCTGACAGGCATGGCATAAATGGTCATCAGCAGGCTGACTGCAGGCGATCGAAGAGGAGTGAGTGAGGCGTTGAAGAGCTTCCTTGCCGGGGTGACCAAGACGGCGGTGCCAGATGGACGATGAAGGAGTGGCGACAAGAGTGCAGGGAGCAGAAGGCGTCGATGGTAGCTGCAAGGTGTAGAGGGGCCCCGAGCTGTTACATCGAAGGAGGACGTTCCTGGTACGAAGATCCTTCACAGAAATGCCAGAGGGGTCAAACTCAATAGAAACATGATTATCAGTAGTGAATTGGCGAACTGATAAAAGGTTTTTAATAATGCCAGGAGCAAGAAGAACATTGTTAAGGCGAAAAGGACCGGGAATGATCGAGTAGCCAGTGCCAACAACAGGGAGAGTGGCACCATTACCCACCACGATGGAGGAGGAAAAGGGGGAAGAGGATGTGCGGGTAACAATACCAGGGTTCGAGGCGATGTGGGAGGAGGCGCCGGAGTCGAAAACCCAGTCTGTGCTGTTCGGCGGAGTGGGTGGAGTGAGCGAGACGGTGCTGAAAGCCTGGGCGAGGGAATGAGGATCCCAGGGAGACCATGCTGGAGGTGGCGCATGAGGAGTAGGTAGCAGCGGCGGTGAGTAGAGGCCCGGCCCTGGTGGAGGTGCCAGGTAGCCAGGGGAAGGCACGCCAGCCATCATGGCGTGCTGCTGAGGAGGAGGGACGCCGGTGCGTGCTGGTGGAGTGCGAGGACCGCCAGGCATGAGGCCGGGCCACATGTGAATGGAGCCGGACCACGGGTTGTAGAGGGACGGCCACTGGGGGCCGCCTTGGTTGCCCTGGTTGCGCTCGCCGCGGCGACGCCGGCCACGGCCACTGCCTGAAGAGCCCCTACTGGTAGGGAGCACGCCCTGAGGATGAGGGGGGCGCGGAGAGGCAGAACTGGGTGCCGGCGTAGTGGAAGGCGGCCTGCTTGATGAGGAGGCGAAAAGGGCAGAAGGAGCCGCTGAGGGCTGCACCATGTTGAGCTCGGCGAGACGAAGATCAGTGCGGACGTCCGCAAATGGAGGGAACGGCTTCTGCCGAGTGATGAGTTGAGCCATGAACTGGAACCGCTCATTGAGGCCCCGCAAGACGTTCAGCACCAGTGTGCGGTCATTGAGGGGTTCACCAAGATCAGCGAGGGCGTCAGCCATGCCCTTCATCTTGCGGCAGTAGTCATCAACGGAGAGATCGCCTTGAGAGAGATTACGGAATTCAGCATCAAGGAGCAAAGCCCGGGACTCACGGTTCCCCAGGAATTGCTGCTCCACCCCGAGCCAAGCCACCCGAGCAGTGACACCGTCGTGCTCGTGGATGATGTCGAGGAGGTCGGTGGAGATGCTGTTGAAGATCCAGGAGACGACCACGCAGTCCATGCGGTACCAGACCGGGTCGGTGGGGCGGGAATCGTCGCTGAGGACATGGTCCTTCAGGGAGTACCGACCAAGAGCAAGGAGAAGGTAGCCGCGCCACTTGGAGTAGTGGGGGGACTTGAGGTCGAGGACGATGGGGACCAGGTACTTGATGTTCTGGACGGCGCAGGCCTGGCTGTGCAGGTGCGCAATAGCAGCAGCCTCAGAGGAGACGGAGTGCTCGTCGTCGTCGTGGGCTTCATTGTCGTGGATGGCCTCCAGACGAAGTCGCTCCCGGATGGCAGCCGCTTGCGCCTCCAGGGCGTCGGCCTGTGCGCGCTCCTTGGACAGGGCGTCGGCAGCAGCACGGACGCGCTCCTGGGCGGCAGCGGCGGACTTGAGAAGGTCCGCCTCCTTCTGGAGCTGGACGGCGCGCTCGGTGTTGGCCGCTCGAGTGGCGGTGGCTTCTTCCTCGAGCCGCAGGGCGGCCGCGGTGGCATCGTCGCGCAGCAGGGCCGCGTTGGCGGCAGTAGCAGTGGCTGCGGCAGCCGAGGCGCCGGTGCTGGAGGCGCCAGTGAGAGGAGGCGGTGCGGCGGCTGAAGCGGCCATAGGCGCGAGCGGAAGCAGAGGAGAGGAAGGGGCGGAGGCAGCGTGCGGAAGCAGAGGAGACGAAGGGGCGGAAGCTGAGGAGAGGTGGGCGGGAGAGGAAAGGTCGGCACAGGACCCGAATTAGGCGTCTGATACCATGAAGGCAGAATGCCAACCAACTTAGATTATGTTTACACAGGGATTACAAATATATAGAGCCTTAGCCTGGGAAGGCCAGGGGCTAAGCCCACATAGGGAAGCGCACAGCAGAGTAAATAGGAGTAACTAACACAATAACCAAGGAGACACTATGGTAGTCTAACATTTTGGACTGTTTCATGTAAATCTGTCGTGCTCGTGCACTCACTAACCCTGAAATTTTAACAGATAACCAAGGAAAAGGGACATTGTAAAAATATATATCTTCCTGGAGATTTAATTAAAACAACTGTGTAAGTAGAGAATTTGAAAAATTAACAATCTCAGGATCATGACAGGCAAGGCAGCTTCCACATGGTCACTAGAGCACTCTAGGACAAGGCATGTGGCAGTTTTGAGGCACACCATGGCACTAGTAGAACCAAAGGCGCCAGGTGGGTTGCACTGTGGTAGAAAGTAGGGGCAAACCAAAAAGGAACATCAACAAAAAACAGGGAAATCTAGCCCCTCAATGTGAATGACTTCTGTTCAATCGAAGCTATGGATGCAAGAACGTACTGAAACTTACAAAGATGACTTTATGGGTGCAAGATACATGATGGATCATTTTATTATAAATAAAAACCAACAATTAGTGGGACCGAGTAGACATTATGGGACAGTACAAACGTAAATATCTCTGAAATGAATGCAGTGAAAACAGACAGCAGCAGGAGCCAGTCATCAGAGTATCAGACAACCAAATCAGAAGGCCTCCTGACCAGCATCTATCAGTGTTAAACCAGGTACCGTCCTAAAGTTTGCCGAGTTGGTCAGGAACGTAACACTAGCAGATTTCAAGCAATACCAAATTAAGTGGGTTTATGTTAAAGTTACTTCTGCAGATCTCCAGGTATGGGATTTATCTTAATGTTCCCTTATACCTAAGTTATTTGCTAAAAAAAAAACTATTCAAGCATGCAACAACACTGAGGGCGTGCTTGGTTCTCAGCCACATTCCACCAGGCTGCACCTGTGGTGGTGCCAAACTGGTGGCATAGAAATGAGCCACACCTGTGGTGAAAATTTCTACTGCAAAAGCTGTGGCGGCCGAAGCTCTGGAACCAACCAAATAGCAGCAATAAGGGGTGTGGCAGCCTTAGGTTTGGCGGTGGCCAGCAACCAAGCACGCTCTGAGACTTGTGCCTTCCATTGTGAATTTAAAGCTGTAAAAAGAGAGCATACTTGAGTAGATGAGACCATATGAATTTCATTTCCAGAATCCACTGGCCAGACAAGAGTGCATTGAGGTTCCATGTAAAAATGCTCTTGACCTCCAACATGAACTTGTCCTGATACAATTCTGTCACATGCACCAGACAGGAAACATTGTTCTACATCGCCTTTTACAAGGCATTTCTTGGTATTTGGATGAAAGCTTCCATTCTTGACAGCTTCCTCTATAGATAAAATCGCTGGGAGCTCACAATACTCGATATGTACTTTGTTGGCAGCAGTTTTTGCATTATCATGGGTATCAGCAACAACAATTCCAATGATCTGCCAATAAGAAAGAGACGTAACTGATGAATTAACCTAGTTGTGAGATTTCACATAAACTAATATAGAAATCAGTGATAGTATGTACAGAATACAAGAAGATACCTGACCAACACAAGTAACAATGTCGGATGCAAAAAACTCCTCATCATGGATAACTGGTCCAGTATGGTTAACACCGGGTATGTCTTTTGAAAGGAACAACCCAGCAAAGCCAGGGGAAGATTTGGCGAGTGAATCATCAATAGATAATATGCGAGCATGAGCCTTCTTACTCAGCACCAAAGCAGCATGCAAAGTATTGGGAGGTGTCGGTGTGTCATCAGTGTATTCAGCCTCACCAGTGACCTAGCAAAATGAAAGAAATAGCATATGAAGTAAATGAAAGGAAAATGCACACATGACATGCTGAACATTTTCAAAGAGGAAATATCAATGTTGCATGAAGGATGTATGAAACAAGGGCATGTTTGGTTCTCTCTAATAACTTTTATTTTTTTAATATTTTTTCCTTTTCCCCTTCTTGTTGGTCACAGGACATTCAAGTATTCAACTGAGCACGCAGATCTTTAAAGAATCATTAACTCAAAAATGAGGGTAGCAGTTGGGGCGAGAAAATCCCATGTTCCCATCCAGCTCTCTAGCAAATGGGCATTAGAAGAACAGATGGAATAGAGTGTCTTCAGGCTGACAAGGTTAGTGGGCTGTGGGCCAAAAATGTTTTAGGTTCTTTCTCCTCAACTTCCTAAGCTAGGATTTTCCTTGCAAGCAAGAAAAAGGCAGAACAGGGAAACCAAGCTTGGTCTTAGTGAAGCACAAGATGAGTAAAATGAAGAAAGGTAAGGTGAGGTCTATCATGGCTTAAAGTTCTGACTGTACATCACATTCATTCCATGAATTGGAATACATACATTTCTCATGTACAATTGATTAAGGTTCAATAGATTCAAAAAAACACGGACAAGCAATTGTTAAGGCTCAAGAATCCAAAGTAAGCTTGCTGACTCAGTTGCACCAGTTTGAGGGCTGTTGGAGGCTAGCGCCTTGGAAGGCTCTAGGATCTGGTCAGGTTGTCTTTGTAGAAACAGGAGCGTATTTAAAATACTTGCAAGGTGTGAGCCATGAGTGAGTGGTTTTTGTACAGGGTCAACCCCCTTTCCTTTTCTTCTTAATATAAAGATATGCAGCTCTCCTGCGTGTTCGAGAAAAAACTTGTTGACTCAACTGTTGGCAAGCTTTCATGACAGATCTACTGAACCACTGTCCCTAGATGCTATAGGATTGGCAGAGTAGGAGTAATCCTTGGGGGAGGAGTTCACCGCAAATGGTTGTTTGTAATGTCAATGTGACCAAAACAGAATGGCATAAATCAAAATGTGTGCAATGCTGGTTGATTAACAGTACCTGAAGCATAGCAGACATATGAACCATTGGCTGACCTACAGAAGTTCCTTGCCTTACTAATTCATAACTTTGAGTTCCAACAGTAACAGGCCTACTGTAAGGCTGTACAGCTGACAGATGATCTGCATGCAATCCATCTTCTAACAACCCTTTTACTTTCATTTCATGAGTAACAGAAAGGAAAAATTTGAAAAAGAAACTCAAAGTAAGCGATCTGCGAAATTCAATCATTCCACCAGGTGCATTCTCTGAAAGAGAGATGTCTTCTTTCAACAAATTGAAAGTATCATCCAACAACTCAGAGTCCCACTTCTTTCCAGTAAGAAAGTTTTCGGTCCTTGAAGCACTAAGGGGAACTGCTGCTACCCCACCAAAGACAATTGAAACATCAGATATTATCCAATTTCCTTCAGATTCTTGTAAATACACACCCATTCCAGCATTAACCAAAGCAATATCATCCTCCCTTCTATGTGCCTGTTTAAATTCTTTGACATATTCAAAAGGCCTTGTCCATGGTAGTATAATAGAAAGCAATATTTCTTCAGGTTTTATATCAACTTTACGGTAACCAAGAAAGAAATCCTTTGCAAGGGTAGTTCTAACATTGCTGTTCACATCTATTATCTGGAATTTTGCACCTACAGCTATCCAAAGTGGATTTAGGTCTGATATTGGACTAGCAGTACAAATGTTACCACCAACAGATGCAACATTCCTGATTTGTGTGCCCGCAAACCATTTTAACTGACGTACTATTGCCTGGCATGACGAAGTTTCAGGCAAATCACGTTCTGCTATAACCTTTTTAAGGAAATTTTGAAGTTGTGCAAGTCTTACAGCAGAACCAATGTGTATGCCATCTTCTTTAACTTTGAGGGTATTAAGCTCTGGAATATGAGTAACTGAGATCATGACCTTATATTGGGCATTCTTAAACTTCGTTTCGACTCCCACTTCTGAATTACCAATGATAAGCTTTGCATCCAGGTAGCAAGATTTCAAATGTAATAATTGCTTTAGTTTAAGAGGCCTATACCATTTGATCTCATTGGACCCATTTAATTTAAGTGGCATAACTTTCCTCAACTGAAGTTCTGGGGGGAAGATGAGTTCCCTCTCGTTGTATGCACTCCCATCAATTTCATTGTATGAATAAGGTGAATATCTTTCCACAGACGACGATAATGAGGACTCATTAACATTGATATCCGTCTCATTCCTGCAGGAACATGGCTTCCCAGTAGAAGGACAGATAGTTTGGTCATTTGCATTTTCTGAAGATGAATTAGTGTATGCCAAATGATCTGTTTTGGCAAACACACGGAAGGCGTCTATAATTGGTCGGTAGCCAGTACAACGACACAAATTCCCTGCAAGGCAGTCTTCAATCTGGTCTTCAGTAGGAGGCTGTTTGCTCGATCTCAGCAGTGCATACATAGACATCACAAAGCCAGGGGTGCAAAATCCACATTGTGAACCATGTGCCTTGGCTAAACATTCCTGCAAGGGAAGCAGAGCATTATGATAGAAGAGGAAGGTGCACAGGTAGGAAAGGAATGACCTGAATGCATGACAACTGCTTTATTAATTATTAAACAATGACAGAATTGATCCATCCCATCTATCCTTAAAGTTGTCAAAATTAAACATGACAGAGTTAAGATAACTTTTACAAGTTTTTGTTCCCTCTAAGACACAGGAGAACTCTGTTGGAAATAACCCCCCAAATTGTATTGCAGTCCCCAAAGGAGAACAAGTTGGGGTAGGCTAGAGACGAAGCCCAACAAGAGCAGCCACAAACAAGATAAATCCCTGACTGTCCTTAGAGATGTTTTTCTTTCAGCGTGTATATACTTTAGATATGTTTTTTTTCTTTTAAAACCCAACCATGGGTTTGTCTTTAGGGAGGGAAGCACCATGCAGGTATGTTTTTCATTCTGTAAAGGAAAAGTTATCACTGGACCTATCTCACTATTTGGTATTCCTATTATGCTTTGATACCTTCCGTATTAGCCGTCATGGAAACAGCAAAAATTAAATGATGTCTTCTACCTCAGCCATTTCTTATAGATATATGAGCAGATTCCACATGAATATCTGCAAGTTATACAAGAATAGCGCATCACCTGAACTGGGTGCAAACCTCGCTGTCGATCTCCAATTCCTTCAACTGTGATTATATGCATTCCTTCCACAGAATAAAGTGGAGCCAAACATGCATTGATTGCCAAATGCCTGAATGAATAAGGTAATTTTATTTTACACGAAGCCTGCTTTGTAGCCAGTATAATACATATAAAATACAAAATTAAAACACACATAGCAACAAAAGTATATAGATTCTACATCCCATGCAAGGGAGTGATTGCAACTCTAACAAGGCAAAACCAGTTTTTAGAAAGAAAACTAAAGAAGGTAAATATTGAAATATATTTCTGTTGTCACCTGTCATTTTAAGTTGGTTTAGGCAGAGAGAGAGATAGCGTTCAGAACATGATTCGTACAGGAATGTAGTTCTCACAGTGATTTCTTTGTAATTCGGTCATAGCAAGAGACCATGACAGTGCAGGCTCCACAACCACCTTCACCACATCCAAGCTTTGTTCCTCGAAGGCCAATATCTACAATGCATAGTTCAATAAACATTAAGAAAAGAACTGCACAACATGAATTAAAATACTTTCTCTATGTGTGATATTGTCTAAGATAAAGCAGGAAAATGCAACCTTCTGAAATGCAGCTATGACACTATTTTTCAAACCAGATTGCACAAATAGATGCAAACTGAAAAAAAAGGCAATAGAATAGACTATAGATACAAACTGAAAAAAAGGCAATAGAATAGACTATCTTAAAATTAACTAACATGTAATGATCCTTAGATCATTTGTAGGCGAAACATTAGAGAGAGGGATAGCCTGGTTCAAAAGATAGTGACAACAGTCGATTTTTTGGAGCTTTTTGCCAGCCTCTCTTGGTTCAAGTTTATCAGTATGAGGAGCATTTAATTGTGATTCCCCAGCTACAGATAACCTCTGATGATGAATGCATGGCAATATATTCAGGATAATGCATAATGTTTCTACTATATTATTCCAGAGATTCAAAGATCATGACAATAGAGATTCTAGGCCTCCAGTTGTGGGGTTTCAATGGTTTTGTAAATGTGCATTCCATCCTAAGCCACAAACAACACAAATTTGAGAATTTTGAATCTTAATATTCAATTCTCTGGAGTTGACAATAAAATTCATGTGCAATGAATAATTGATCTAATCTTTTCCCTTAAATTTGATTCCAACTAATCAGCTGGTACGACTTTACTGCCGTTACCAACAAGAATAAAGTACATAACAAAAATATGGCTTGTTGCTCCAATTCCCATTTCTAAAATTCCAGTTAGGAGAATACTTGCAAAACTGATGATCTAATGAGATGATATCATTATACTGAGTATCATGTAGGTAAGATCAATGAACTTACATCAACATAATTAAGAGATAGAACAAGAATTTGTGAGTCTACATGTCTTCAGTAAGCAACTTAGCATGTCAAACTAATCAAAAGAATGTAACCTCTTTCGAGTTTTAAAAGGCAAATTTTGCATCTTTCTGTAGTTTTTACATGAACTACCTCTGATAAAAACAAGGAAGTCTTTTTTCAGAGAGAAAACTGGAAACACACAATTTCAGAGCACTGCTGAAACTAACAAAACATAGATACAGATCACTAGGGAAGACAGTTGTATCCTAAATACAATAAACTTTAAAGCTTTAAGAAATAATTTAAAACTTTTAAGGAGTGCCCTGTCAGATCCGAACCCGACAAGATATGCATGCTCTTATGCGTTATTCTTGAGCTTCACAAAGAAAAGAAAAGGAAAGATGCCTCACATTTGATCCACGGTCAGCAGATACCCTCTATAACCACTAAATACCTTCCCTAAAGGGAATGGAAATATCCAACCTTAAAAGAAGATTGCCATATTGTGCCGTATCGGACGTGGATCAGCCTGCCACTATTAGTTCGCATGTATAACTAGTATTCCTTATCCGATATGGCACAGCATGGCGATCTTTGTACCCACGCTTCCCGTGGATCATATAAACAGCATGTGTTGGAACTTGGAAGAGAGCAGGACGACTGTACTCTTGATGCTAATCAACATATGCTCAGAATGACCAGTGAGGTCGTGAGAGTAGGAATTGTGTTATGTATGTTCCCTGGGGCCCAGTGTTGTTGTGTGAGAACTGGGTTATAGGTTTCGAGTTCAGTATGCATTGAGGCAATAACAAAATGAACTAAACAAAGGATTCATGTTCTCCTTCCCTTCTTGAATCTCCCTTATGTCACCGCAGCCAACGACAAACATGAACGCACAGTAAGAGTAAAGTAGTTGAAGTCGGTGTCACAGTGATTCCGTTTGCAAAACCTGACAAGCTCCACCTCGGCACCTCCACTAATCCAACAATTTAAATCATTCGTTGAGAAGTTGCACGTAATTTCCTCTGTTCTAAAAGAAGAAAGAGAAGCAGTCGACAGATTGCAGTGGATCCGGATCCCAATCTGGGAGCAGCGCATCGAAGTAGAAGCAGTTGCGGTAAAAACACTCCTACCGACCAACCACCAACCGTACAATTCCAGTATTATCAAGCGAAACTCCTAATCTTAACGTGCTGGCTTCAACAGAGATAGAAAAAAGAAAAACAGAAGTATCAAGAGAATCTCCTAATCTTAACGTGCTTCAACAGAAATAGCAAAAACAGATAGGGAGAGAGAGCGACCTCTAAGGTACTGTAGCAGGGTGAGGTGAGCGAGGCCGTCGGGGAGCACGCGACGGACGCCGTTGACGTAGATGACGGCCTCGTCGGACCACTCCTCTTCCGCGGCCGCTGCTGGGTCCTCCTCCGCCGCCCTCGTGAGCGACCCCATCAGATTCCGGGTGGGGAAGAAGCACGGCTAGGCCCGCGAGAGAAGAGAACCTGCAGGGACCGACCAATGGGTTCCGCCCGCGGAGGTCCAGTCCAGAGGTTGGATGCGCGCTTGGGACTCTGCCTCTCCAAGTGCGGTGGAAGTGGAACTGCACGGCACGGGTCTGATCAGTGATGTGGATGGATGGATCACGGAGAGGAAGAGGATGAGGCGGCATCCCCGCATGTGCGGGAGAGTTGATGATACGTACAGTGCATGGACGGAGACAAGCGACGTGAGCGATGAGACGAGCGAGCGCCGGTGGCGAACCGGCGGTAGCTTGGAGGCACAGCCGCACCGCACCGGGATATTCTACGCAGCACGGCAGTCACGCGATACCGCTTTTCCGTAAACAATTTCTGAGCAGACTCTGTATATGTGGTTTGGTAGATTTTGCTGACAAGCGTCCCTTTGGTTAAGTGGACATGGAGGGATCGTCGACACATCAGTCCTGGTAGAAGATCTTTAGCACCAGCGTGTTTGGCTGGTAGTCTGTGTACGGTGGATTTCGGATCCGAAATCCACTGTGCTGGTTATGTTATGGCTGATTTCAGCTTATTTCAGCTTATTTTCTCTCACAAAACACTATCGCATCATCCGAAACCATCTAAAATCCACTGTGCACAGTCCACCAGCCAAACAATCTCACATCTCTATATATATATATATATATATATCGTGGTTTAAATTCAAGGAGGGCATGTTTGGTTTCTATCTCCGATAGCCTGTATCACATCTACTCACTCGGTCCCAAAATATCGTTTTCGTTTCCTGAGAAACAACTTTGATAAAATATATATTAAAAAATATTAATATTTATGGTATATAATTGGTATTATTGGAAAGATCTTTAAATCTAGTTTTTTAATAAATTTATTTGAAGTTAAAATGTTGTACGTATTTTCTACTGATTGAGTTAAACTTGTAGCACGGAAATCAGAAGAGACCCATAATTTAGGAGAGAGGGAGTACACATTTAGGCTGCCTCTTGACAGACCATTGTCTTGGTCTGTAGCGCCAGGACGAAGAGAGCAATTGTTTGGTTGTTAGGGCCACATGCAACATACAAAACGCGGATGCAAGCTCACTTGTTTGGTTAGTTGTATAAAAAAAAGTCAGTTGTCACATTTCTATATATCAAAGCAGGAAGCTTTAGCCAGCTCTAAGGCCATCCACGTCACCCAGATTGTGTCAGCCGTTGGATTTTAAGATCAACGGTCCTGGTTCGTCGCACCGGTTCCTACGTTGCCGGTCTTCAAATATCTGCTCCCACCGCGGCCGCTGCCTCTCGAAGCCTCCCGTCGTACCGTCTCCCTCGACCTCTCCGCGACGCTCGGCGCCCCCTTCCAGTGATGCGCCGCGCGCACGCGCCACCCTCTTCCAGCCCTTCCTCTCTCTCTCTCTCTCTCCCGACGTGGCGAGGCCCTCCTCCTCCTCCTCCCCTCGCGTCCCGCATGCCGGCCGGGTCAACGCTGCCAGCTCACCATGTGAGGCCTGCTCGCTGAATCAGCAGCTGCCGATGTCAAGCAGCGGTGGCCGACCCTCCGTCTTGGCGGCGCCACTCCTCCTCCTCCTCCTCCTCCTCCCCTCGCGTCCCGCATGCGGCTTGGTCAACGTCACCACCACCACTCACAGGCGAGGCCTGCCCGGAATCTGCAACTGGCGATGTCATGGCGGTGGCCCACCACCACGCCACTTCCTCCTCGCGACGCAAGGCAGCGGGTCGCGCCGCCTAGGGTTTGGCCCCTCCGTCGCCGGTCTCCCCACAGCCACGCGGCCAGCCAGCTGAGGCCCTGACGCGACGGCCGGCTCTGGCGGCGGAGGGAACTCCATGCTGGCCGTGGATGACGACGCGGAGGTCACGTCAGTGAGCTCGGCAGTGGATCTGAAGCGGCCGCTCACGGGGCCCCTCCCGGCAGCGGATTTGAAGCTGGAGCACAGCGTGGACCTCGCGCCAGCAACAGAGGCGGCGGATCTGTGCCGAGCAGGCGGATCCAGCGCGAGGCCTCCCCGTCTCAACTGGATCCGGCTGCATGGGCTCCACCGTCGAGCTGGACGGTGCCACGTCCGCGAAGCCGCCCCTGCCGCTTCGCAGTGGGCGCCGCCGTGTCGCCACACCACGACGTGACTTTCGCCCCGCAGTTCGCCTCTCCTCGTCGCGCCACATAAGGGGCGGCGCGCCCGAGCTTGTTGCGCGCGCCATGCGTGGGCCCCCATGGTGGGCAGCCCCACGGCGGTGGACGTCCTCGGCCACGGAGCGCCACGACAGGCCCATGCTGGTAGCCGCCGCCACTGCTTCCCCCGCGCTGCCCCTTCCCGCTGCTCCGCGTGTGCTCCACCAAATGCTTGGATTTCGCCGCTCCCCATTTAATCTATGCAGTGAATCGGGTGAAAAAAAACCTCTATTTCCTTTCCTACCTTGCCGGCGTGCGCGATGGCGCGAGTGATGGACTAGTGCATATGATGGTGATATTCCTCCAACTCCTACTGAGTTCAACCCATGAGCACTGACAAAACAGAAGGAAGTAAAAAAGTTTGGACAATGATCATCATAGAAATAAGAAGGAATCACAAATCACACATGAGAGGGAAAATGGAAACATTGCACATCATAGGCTATGGTCAATATAATTGTTCATAATTCAGATATAATTTTAGTTGCATAATATCTAATTGATCCACGAGTACTGTGGTACATCACACAAACTCTTGCATAGAGCAGGGGCACATCACGGTACATCACACAAACTCTTGCATAGAGCAGGGAGCACATCAACAAAACCACCACTATGTGCCACATATACCAAACCACCATCACAATTTTAGTTGGAGCCTAGTGTTACCATCCCTCATTGGTTGCAACAAACTACACAAAGTAGCCATCTGCTGCATGAAAGAATGAGAAGCAACAGGGTTGTAGCTTGACTCCACAAAAGAAAGATCATTTAGAGGTCAGGATGGCATAGCTACATGTAATAGTGCTTGACAAGCCAAGTCCTGAGCCAAATGACATAGTGAGACAAATGCATGAGCCTTAATTAGCCTTGTTGTCAAGCAGATGGGAGTATGCCACAATGAAAGCCTATTTAGGGAACCCAGACACTACATCGTAGAATTCATGATGCATAATCTCCATGTTAGTCTCACCAATAGCAAATGCCACATCTTTCACACTATTAGTCATATACTCATATTAGTGAAGACAACATGCATGGTGTCTTGAGTAAAGACAAACCTCTACCTCTTGTTGCTAGGACTAGATCCACTACTGCCCTCTTTGTCTTCCTTGGTACAATCTCCCCACAATTTAGCATCAACATCTGTGGCCTTAGCAACTTTTGTCATCATCAAATGGCTAGGCTTTGGTGACGCTATCAACAAAGTCCGATGGGCTTCCCAAGGCCTCATTGGACCCTGTAGCATACTTCCATGTGGCTTGACCTATACCAAATGTGGTCATTATTTGCTGGGAGTTCTCTATGGGCTTGTATAAGAACTCAACTTCTTTAGGTGGAAACATAGAAACCAATTAAAAACCACATTTTAGTCACTAAAATAATCTAAAATTTTGCGTATCCATGTGTATGCAAATAATGTTCTCACTTGTGTAGAAGTTGAAATGCAAATTTTCTTTTGAAAATTCATAACGAAAATGACAAATTCAGATGGATGTGCACTTAAAAACAAAATCCCTAAAATTTTCTTTTCTAGTGCACATGCATTTAATATTTGTCATTTTCAATGAAATTTTCTAATTTGAGTTTGCATTTCAAATTTTGCATGTGATTACATACTGTATGCACTATAGATATCCCAAATTTTAATATTTTTATACCAAATTTTAAAAAAAATAACGACTAAAATATGTTTCTTTAGATTGGTTTCCATGTTTCCCCTTGTAGGTGGTTTCCACCACACATATATGTATAGTGTATAGTTTGGACCTAGAGTTAGAAACTACTATTTTCGTAATGTTTTAATTTGGGTTAAAAATAATTCTAGAAAAATTAGAATTGGTGTTTAAGCCACAAAATACTCTAAACTTCCAAAAAATTAATAAAAATCTCAGAAACACTTTGGAACATGATGAAGCCAAATAAATATTTAGAGCTCACAAAAAGATATTTAGAAGTGTCAAAATTAGAGTTTGCTCAAAGAAATGGGAAAAATCTTGAAAAAATCTAAAAAAATTGCTAGGGAAGATTAAATGCATTCTAAATTCAATTTTAAAATCTTTTGCGTGCATAAACACCAAACATAACCAACAAAAAGTAACACATCAAACAAAACCATGTCAAATTAACAGGAAAATTTTAGAAAATCATTTTCCTCTAAATTGAAAGAAATTTAAATAAATCTTGAATAGAATATTGAAATCAGAACTGTTATTTGTTTCTATTTACAGCCAGCCAAAAAATAAATTTTTGGGGTGTGGCAAATCCCATGCCACCTTGTTTGTACCACCAAAAACTAGCATTTGCAGTACTAAAGTAGTCATGTGAATAAAAAAATATTAAAAATTACTACTAATAAATGATAAATACTACTACTAGATGTGAAGCACGCTACAAAATAGATGTGCTCAGCAGTGCTAGTATTATATACTCTGAGTAGTAAAATGGATATAGTGAAAGAAAATATAGAAAATTACTATGAATAATACTTCTAATGATATATTCTCATTAGCATGTTATGCATAGCAAAATTTAGTTTTGTCACCAAGTCAAATCAAAATAGAACATGATTACCAGCTTAAACAATTGAGGTCACAGCCTAAAATTTGGACTATATCTTGCAAACTGATGGATCAAAGTCCTTTGTGTCGTTATCGTGCTATTCACTGCTGCGCAATGCCGTGTGGACCGTCCGTGGGTCTCTGGCAGGGCACATCACAGAAGCAGCACGCATATGCCATTACAATAAACCATTTATACATTTTGATATTTTTCATGATTTGTCAA